GGATTTTAGACATAGAGTAAAGGATTACCAGCCTACAATCCACACTGCCAGAGAAGCTAGGAAACAAGGGGGACCCTAAGAGAGACATACATGGTCCCCTGGAGAAGAGGAAAGGGTCAAGATCCCCTGAGCACATTAGGAGCATGGGAGGAGAGGGGAGGGAGCTAGGATAATGAGAAGGGGAGAAGAAGGGGGGGTTAGGAAGACATGAGGGAGCAGAAAGGTTGAGTCAGGGGAAGAATAGAAGATAACAAGAATGGCGATACCATAATAGAGGAAGACATTTTAGGTCTACAGAGAAATCAGGCACTAGGGAAATATCTGGAGAGCTACAAAGATGACACCAACTAACAATCTAAGCAACAGAGGAGAGGTTACCTTAAATGCCCTCCCCTGATAATGAGATTGATGACTGACTTATATGCCACCCACTAGCCTTCATCCAGCAGCTGGTGGAAGTAGAAGCAGACACCTGCAACTAATCACTGAACTGAACTGGAACCCAGTTGCAGAGAAGGAAGAGTGAAGAGCAAAGGTGTCCAGACCAGGCTGGTGTAACCCACAGAAACAGCTGACCTAAACAATGAGGAGCTCTTGGTCCCCAGACTGATAGCTGGGAAACCAGCATGGGACTGATCTAGACCCCAGGAATGTGGGTTTCAGTGGGGAGACCTCAGAAATCTATGGGGCCTCCTGTAGTACATCAGTACTTATCCTAGCGTAGGTGTGTACTTTGGGAGCCCATTCCACATAGAGGAATACTCCCTGAGCCAAGACACAGAGGGGTGGGCCTAGGCCCTCTCCTATATATATCCTGTTATATCTTGAAGGATATAACAGACTCTGATGACCCCCCTAGGGAAGGCCTCACCCTCCCTGGGGAGCAGAAAGGATATGTGATAGGTAGGGTTTTAGTTGGGGAGGTGGTGTTAGGGGAGGGGGGAGGCAGAGGGAACTGGGATTGTCATGTAAAACAATCTTGTTTCTAATTCAAATGAAAAAATCTGCAAAAAAGAAAATGAAAAGCTGTGGATTCTTTCCAGACTCATATGATTTGACCAAGCAAGGCTTCTTGAAGCAGTGACCCAGGTTATCTAACATTCAAGACAGCTGAGACAATTCAGCCTCAGACTACTATAGCCAGGATTTGGCCGGGTTTCTGAGTTTTCTCAAGATCCCCATGATATTGACAGCATTCCCAAACAGCAGGAAGCAGTTTGGAGAGAATGACACCCAAATTTCCAAATATTGTTTATAAATGTTTGCTTCCATTTAGACAGGGCTGGTTATAAATGGTTAATGATCACACCCAATCTCTTTCTAAAGGAAGAAAGGAATATGATGTTGAAATGAATACTTTGCATTGGTATGGATTTTAGTTTATTAATATATATTTAGGGTCAATCTTGTTATATGTATATTTCTCCTCTTGCTTAGGTATTATACTTATGCAGTTCTCTTAGAATGTAATGTATATTAAATACAGATTATCCTCACTTATAATAGTCAAAACTTATAGTTATGTTAGATTTTCTTTTATTCTGGTGAAGCTAGCCACTGGTCAGAAAAATTACCTTAGCCTTGGTTGCTGACAGTGTGCTGTCCAAATTGGACAAGCAAGACACAAAAGAAGGTGACTACTGAGCTTTGACAAACAAGACAGGACAGTCCTTCAAAAACCCTGCTTCACAGAATCATGTGTCAGATATGCCAGGCCTGTAGGCTGAATATGGATGCTCCAGCGTTACAGAGAAACCTTGGGGTGACTCTCCAGACAGTGAGATGTCTCTGTCATTTCTATAGCTTTGGAAGTTGTTTGCTCTGCACTTCCTGTTTACTCAGTTAGCGTTATATCCTTCTTGGGTCTTTGACAGAGTTTGAAAACTAGAGAATTATAGCACTTTTTGTTACCAAATTTCAAAAGAAACTTACAAAAGAGATGTAAAGTTTATAAGGTGGAGAGACATAAAAGCTTAAGTTGTCTATTTAATGAATTAGTTAAACAATGAATATATTTGACCATATGAGAAGATTTTTTTCTCTATGCAAAACCTCCACCATTTTTACAGCAGACTCAGAGCTTCCAAACGTTTGGCAGTTCCTGAAATTAGTTCCCACGAATTCTGATGTTTGGTTCTTTTGACGCATAACTGAAGCTCTCAACTCCTTTTCATTTCTGTTTACCATATTGGTGTCTTTATTTTTTGGAGATATAGTGTCACTATATTAAATATTAACCTGTCCTTGTACACATATGCATCCCAGGATTATAGGTATGAGTCACCATGCTGGATATATATGAATGATAACTGATGAATTTCACCATATGGCTTTTCTCTGTTTAGTACCCCATTGATAAAGAAATACTGGCATTCTACTGTGGGATAAAAGGAGAGCTCACTCATTTATCACTCAAACCAGAGTGGGGCACTGGTAGCCAGACTGACTCGGTTGGAGACCTCACACTGATACTCTCCAACATTCTCCAACCCCACAGGATGTATTCTCAGTCCACACTTTGCTGGGGACAGAGTCATGCTCCTTGAGAGTTGCAGGGGCTGCTTATTGAAGAACCAACGGATGGAGACGTCAGTGTCAGGTGAAACGCAGGTGAAGATGGCAGATCTGTTTGATGAGACTACCTCGTTAGTGACTCGCACAAAGGGCTGTTCCACATGCTCTGTGAAGAAACAAGGAGAGTATCAAATGATGGTGGTCCAGAGAGCTCAACCAACCCCTCTTTAGTTCATACTTAATAAAGCTTCCAGGGGCAGAGTTTGGAGCTGTGACTGTAGCTTATACCCTATGTTTTGGCATTCTGCGACTCTGACTCAGGCACTGTGCCCTATGACTTTTTCTGTAATAGGCCACACAGATCACGATCATTGCCATGTCCACAAGTTAAGCTTAATTGTGAGCAATGATCTGACCTTGGGATGAGGAGCTGCTCACATCAGCACCACCTGTTTCCATTTAACTGCAGAAGAAAATTCCCCAGGCTGACCCATGAGGAGCAGCAAGAATCTCGAGTAGCTGCCTCTGCTGTTTCTTCCCTTGGTGCTTCCAACTTTCTGTAAAGTCTCATATGCCATCACAACAATAGGCCAATGGCCCTGACACCTGTCCACTGAGATTCATGAGAAGGAGATACACAAGTGACCTACCTAACTTCCGCTGTCATGGCAGTTCATAGCTGGTTCTATACTCTAAGGGATTTGGAGAGTCAGTAAAGACATGTTCCCTGTCAGCTCTGAAAGGATATCAGAACAGACAGTGACAAAATATCTCCACAGTGTAACTTAGAATGCAGCCAGTGGCAAAGTTTTGGAATCAGGGCTTCCTGGTGCTCTCTGTGCAGACGACATGACTTCCTCATCCAGTGTCTGCCTGACTCCCACAGAGTCTCTCTTGAGGCTATGTGCATGGTGAGAACTGCAAGCATCTGCCCTGAGGCTGGCATCCTTATGATAAGTTATCCAGAACAGGTTCTCTCTTATGCAATTAAAGACAGGTGAGAGTTTCTAACCAATACTTGATCATTTCCCTAATGTGAGTCCTACACTAAGTGCCCAAACCCTATTGTGGGGACACAATGCAGTAGAGAACAGAGCAGGCACAGCGAATCCTAACAGTTCAGTGTATGAAGTAGAATAAGCCACACCCAGCAGCTGGAGACCATAGAGAGTCACTTACTGTTTACGTGGAATTGCACATAGACCTTTTCAATTTTGGAATCACTTTTCAAGATTGCTAGTGTGTACATTCCTGCATCTTTCTGAGTGATGTTCTTGATCTGCAGAGTTCCGTTGTCATACACGGTCTCTCTTCTGCTATATTGAGCTCCCCAGGTCGTGGTATTTAGGACTCTGTTGTGTTTGACAATTTCAAAATATGGATCATCATATACTGTCCTGTACCAAGTAAAGGCTTGGAAATCTTCTGGAAGTTTATGGACTCGGAGAAGAACACTTTCCCCTTCAGCCGCATACTGAGGCAGTAGTTGGATCCTGAGTTGGGAAGAGTTGGCAGAATGGGAGGCTGGAAGGGAAAAGAGGAAAAAAACCCATTGCATGGGGATCATTGTTCATAACGAAAAGGTGGTGACCTCAATCTTGAGCAGATGGATTTTTCACTCAGCCTAGAGCAATAGGTGTGGGTATGTCCAGTCACTTTATGAAGGTCAGTAACATGGCCTACTCCATTACATCTGAGCCCCCCGCCCCGAAAAATG